TTTCATTCATATCTCCATTCATGCATCTAGAAGTATTTAATGAGTGACAGTGGGGCAGGCACTGAGCTGAGAACTCACAACCACAGCTAAGCATGAGGTAGTTTGGTTTTTAAATACATACTGGGCTTGGTTTCCCAATCCAACTTAATCAGTCTTAATACGAATTTGAAAAACTATTAACTAAGTGCTCTGGCTGGAAACAGTAGTTATTAAGAGCTAGGAAATGTGTAGTTAAGACATGTGTGAACAAGAAAAGAGCATTAGTAGTAGTTTTCAGTTGAACAGGCAGAGAAACGAATGAAAAGGCCTTCTATGAGTGTGTAACTATGCACACAGAGCCTGGTGATGGGTGAAGACTGTGCCTGAGTATCGGGTTAAATGCCACTGCATTATTGCTGGTCTACTGAATTTTGAAAGTATCATTTGAACAAATCCTCAAATTTGGTAAGCAACAAAGACAAAGAAATTTTGCTGTCGCAGCTGAAAACACTGCCACTACCAAGGCACTTTATAGCCAGCACACTTAGACTGGCTTACACTTTGAACCCATTAGAAGTGCAAAGCAAACATCTCTTTGAACTTGTAGTTCTTAACCCAAGTTGAAGATCAAGAGGAAAAGCACTAATTGTAATATAACAGTCCAGGAACTGTTAAAAGTCATGTGTTCACCTTATTTCAGTCTCACACATTCTCAAATTTCGAGTTCACTGAAAGTAAAGAAATAAATGTTATATTTTTCTCTTTAGACATCATCTACTTTTTTCCCACCAGAATATGATAGAAACTTTCTGTATTTTGATTAATTAATCATAATTATGGGGCTTGCAGCTAGTTGAATCAGGTTATTAGCTCAAAAGAAAGGTTCCCATGTAGAAGTTTCTGGGCTATTCTCCTTTCTTTTCCTCTCCTCCATGCACAATTTTATTATTTGTAGAATAATTAAGGGGTCAGAGCTATTTCCATATGAAGTCCAAACAAAGTGGGTATTCAGATGAGCTTCCTTCTGGAGATTGGGAACTTTGGAAATAAAAGAGAAACAAGAAATACCCTTCCTTAGTGCTTAAATTGCAATTACAGTGTGAAGATTACCTCTATTTTATAGGCTGCACTTCTACTCAAAGTATATTTTTGTGACAAAATTGATGTCTACACAAACCTCCATATTAAGTGTATGAAAGGGGAAAAAAAAAGCTTCAACTAGGAGTCATAAAACACCTCTTATAGTGCTGTACTTTCACCACTGCAGCAGTGAAAACCAGACATTCTGATGGAGGACAGCGGATTTGCTGACTCAGGGTCTTTCTCTCCACTAAACAGGTCTTCTGCTGCTAAATCTCAGGGCCACTTCTGTACATCAAACTGGGTAATTCAGGTAACACTGTACTGAGTGTTAACTATAAATGGTAATCTAACCACGCCTTAAATCCAAGGATTAAATTACAACAGATTTATTTTGCTTTCCATTTTTCCCATTGGCCCACTGCCCAGATCCGTGACTGGTTTCCATTTTTGGCAGTTAACTATTCTTTCCCCACAAGGGCAGCAATCTGCCTCCAGTTTCATCCTCTTCACATTTTCCCACTAGTAAACATGAGCTTCTAATGAAAATGATCATACTAAACTTTGTAAATGGAAATTCCTCCTTTGACATTTCCATGTTTATCTAGAAAAGGCTTAGACTCTATTCCTTTCTTCTTTCTTCTGAAAGAAAGGGAATCAACAACCTGCTAATGGGCAGAGCCTTCATTGTCTACAATCCCTATATCTTCTGAATGTAGCTGATTGGCAGTTTTCTAATAATGTTTTAGGCTTGATGATATATATAGGAAGTCAAGTTCTATGACTGAAATTTTTCTGGCCACTGAAGACTAATACTACATTCCTCTCATCATCTATATGAAAGAAATCAGATTCTCTTCCATTTCACAAACCCTGGCGTGCTACAGTATGTCACATGGTCTATTTTTGAGTAGTCAGAACAGCACGGGTTAAGGAATATGAAATTAGCCAACATGATCCATTGCCGAGGGGGGTTATTCTGGCCTTTTCTCTTCCTGTCATTGTGTATGTTCTTCCAAAGTTCAGATGAATTAAGAAATCAGATATATCTGATATATATCTCCTATATCTTAAAACAGCTTTTGATTTGTGGTAGTTTCCCGAAATCCTCTTTTTCTAAAAGATATATCTACCCACCCAATATCTACCCACCCAGTCACTGGCACACATATACAGTGTAAGTCTCTACAACAAGAACAAGCCCTGTAACTGAAGTAGAGAAGTGCAGGTGTAGGACTGGCTGGCAGCAGGGAAGGAATGCAAAAGAGGCACTCAATGAGTAGCTAAGTCCTCCTCCTCCTGCGAGGAGGGTGTAAAGGAGCAGAAGGAAGTTGATTGTGTGCTTTTCTGATGGAGAGCAGGGTCAAAATTCCTTCCCCTCTATGGTTTATGAGCAGTGCGGACTCAGTGTTCACTCCTAACACACTTGCAAATACTGGAAGAGGTGAAGGCAGGGCACAGGCACATTTAGTGGGGTGTCCCAGACCTGCCTTGCCCACATTATCTTGGCCAGTCCTGTGGTTAAGGAGGTGGCAGAGCCACATGGACCCTCTTAACTTTCTTCCTGGCCAGTGGTGCCTTGCAAATAGCTAGGCTGGTGGAACTCAGGACTGTCTGAAACAATATGTCTCTTTCTCAATGAATAATCTCTGGCTTTGAGGGGCAGTTTTAACCATCTCAGTGCCTATCTTCCCATTCATCCAACTCTGATTCTAAAAGTCTAGCCAAGGATGTCTGTACATCTCTGACACAAGACTGATGAAAGATGAGCCAATGTGGGTCAGAAGGCCTTACCCTTTCTCTCTTTTTGATATTGCTACATTTAAAATTTTTATTTTTGCTGTAAACCACATTAGGAAAAGAATTATAGCCAATGTAATTTAAAGAAAGTCATTGAAAGGCACTGTGAAATTTAATAGAATTAGCCTTGACTTAGAGGAATAGACTTCTTAATTTTACTTATAAAGTCCTGTGCTTCACTTTCTTATCCAAAAATTATTCAAGCCTTCCTTATACTTTTAAAAGCCAAGTATCTTAAGAAGTTGATCTTTTCAGGGGAAAGACAAATTGAAAACCATGAGGAACATATTTTCAGATAAGTAATTCATGCTTATAACTTCACGGGATTTTATTACCTTCTTCCCTATAAAGTCATATTTGAGTATTTGTAGATAAATAAATAATATGTATATTTTTATCTTGAATAAGACAAGATTCCTAGTAACAAACAAGATGAATTCTGTTTAAGCGGAACTACTATTTGGCAAAGGATACCGAAGGATATTATTATTATCTCAAGGGCACAGGATTTGAGGCTCGGCTGTCAGAAATGAAGCTTAACCCACATTTCTAGGGTCTACTCTGATGAAGACACAGTGTGTCAGGCTCATAGGGACAGGACTTTGATTACAGGAGTTCCTCCACGACTGTCCTTTACTATGGGAATCTTCTATCCCCACCTTCACCGATAAGATCCACTCTTCACCATACCTGTACTTCATTTTCCTCATTCCCAAAGAGGAGTTTTGCATGCATAGCAAGCAGGCTAGAAGAGCAATTTAGGTAGGAGGAAATGCCCACAAACAATGGGTCTAAGGGATACTAGATGCTTATAAACCCAAATGATGACTTCAGTCTACTCCTTGACTGTTCAACATAGTAATATTCCCCAGTATTTCATTTTAAGAGCCAGAACATCCTCCTCTTCATGTCATATCTTTCTAGCAAGAGCCAGAATTGGATCACAACTATTTTCTCAATTCATTCTCCATTATCCTCTGTTCTTGAACCTTTCCACCACCGAATAGCCATATGACTCTCTGCTTTTGTAGGGTTACTAAGTCTGTACCCAAAAGACTATTTTTTTAAAATTTAATTTATTGGTACATTCTAGGTAGACAATACAGTTACATTCATTACTGGGATCTTGTACCTTTACATGCCAGGTCTTGGTTCTCATTTTTTCCCCTTGTCCCCACCCTCCCTTCACCCTCCCTTCCCCTCCCCCCTTCACAAAAGACTATTATTTATAGTTTCTATTATTACTATATTGAGCTTTAGAAGAGGAAAGGGCATAATGATCAATTTTGTCAACTTAACAGGGGTATGGAAGCCTGTTATTTGGTAAAAAACCAGTCTAGATACTACTCTATTTCTACATATGATTAAAATTTAAATAGTTAGACTTTGAGTGAAAAAGATTAACCTCTGTATGGGTGGGCCTCATGCAATCAGTTGAAAGCTTTAAGAGAAAAGACAGAGGTTCACCAAAGAAGATTTTGCTTTTTTTTTAATTTGAGGGAACGCTTCTCTTCTAAACACCTTTATATTCCAGATTGCAATATCAACTCTTTCCAGGGTCTCCAGCTTGGAAATTACAGACTTGCCAACTCCCATGATTGTGTGAGCCAATTCCTTAAAATAAATCCTTGTCAAAAAGAAAAATCCTTGTCTCTATATTTATGTATCTATTGGTTCAATTTCTCCATAGAACCTAATGCATGGGTGAAAATAGGTTGAAGGAGATATTAATAAGTTCCTGGCAGATAATTTTAAGACAGAATTTAAAAATATGTATATTTTAAATGTCCTGTTGTAGCTTTTCACCTTAGCCATTCTGCTATTCCAGTTTCCCTTTCAAAGTCCAACTACAAGGTTGAACATATGTCTTTCCCCAGGCATAGCCTTTATTGGAAAGAAGGGCCAGGTTGTAATTCAAGACAGCAGCAATGGCTTGGATCACTCTCAAAGTTTCTTTGGGCTGTATGCTTTCTCTGGGCCCAGTGATCTGGTAGAAAATTATTCTCTCTCTTCATGAAAAAAAAAAATCTAACAACCTGTATTTTTCTCTATGTCAGGAATTCCTCACACTAGAATATGAAAGAAAATGAGATACATTACCATTTATTCATGCCTTTTATTTCTTCATTTCTTTTACACAGAAAGCTTCAGAAACCCAGAGGTCATTGTATCTGAATATCTGAACAGCCTTACTTTCAAGAGACACAACCAGGAATTCACTGGCTTTGGGGAATATCAGGATACATTAACACCACCTAGCTGCAGTGCTTCCCACACCTGTCACAACTCTAGCAACTCTCTTCTCAGAATGCCTTTACCTTATTCCTATTAATTCAGTGATTTTAGCCTTTAGTCCAGGGCTTCCCATTTATTACTGTTCAAATGTACACTCGGAGGTGGGGCAACTCCTGAAGAAATCTGGGCAAGGCTGAAGGAATCTTCATGAGTGAACAAAGCGGAGGATGGAAGAGGAGGTGGACTCACAAAGAGCAGAAGGAATTGCACTTCAATGCCAATGGAGTCCCCCACAGTCAAGCTACTTTCCCTTCTTCCTGGCTAATTTCTCAAATTCTGTCCTTCTCTCCATGTTTTCCATCGCAAAGTCCAAATCACTTTTGCTCATCTGTGGAAGAAATTCCCTCACCGTGCAGAACTAAACTAAAAAGGCAGAAAGTAAAATCACAGTAAGAGAAGTTAAGCATGCAGAAACCCAGGGGATGGGGCAGGAGACGGTGGGGAAGTTCACATAGTAATCGTTTTTGTCTGGTCCCCGTACATTCATTTATCCATTCTTGAAAATATTTAAGACATTGACATGTACCAAAGCAGTAATCTAGAGATTGGCAACTCAGCAGGGAAATGAGACAGAGCACAACAATCCATATTCTTAAATCTTGATGGGTTCTCTTCCTATTTAGCCTGTCTCCCAGAATTGTGCCCTGGCTTCTGCCTCCAGTATCAGCAGACACAGGGAGCAGAGGATATTCCCAGCAGACCCCAAACACTTTGACCAGGCCTGTTCCATGCGCAGTTCTCTTAAGGCAGTGTTGAGTCTCAGCATTTTGTGACATCCTTGGTCTTTAGTACCAAGGCCAAGGGTCTCCGCATCACCTCCAGTGACTCTGGTTATAGAGAGTGTTATCAGGACACAACAGCAATGCCAGGTTGCTCCCATTTCCAAGGTTCTTGCTCAAAGTCATTGGGGTAGAGACAGGTGGATAGACCTCTCCATGTGGGCAAAGGATGTAAAATATTTGTTTCCCATTGGAATGCTCACCAGAAAGTGACCTCTGCAGAAGAAGAGTTTAACAATCAAGTGGATAAGATGACTTGTTCTGTGGATAGTGGCCAATCTCCTTCAGCAGCCAACCCTGTCATTGCCCATGGCAGGGATGGAGGTTATACATGGGCTCAACACCATGGACTCCCACTCACCAAGGCTGATCTGGCTACAGCTGCTGCTGAATGCCCAATATGCCAGCAGCAGAGACCAACACCGAGTCCTCCATATGACACCCTGGGAGTTCCCCGGAGCGATCAACCTGCGACCCGGTGGCAGGTTGATTATATTGGACCACTTCCATTGTGGAAGGGACCGAGTTTTGTCCTCACTGGCATAGACACATATTTCTGGACATGGATTTGCCTTCCCTGCATGTAGTGCTTCTGCCAAAACTACCATCTGTGAACTCACAGAATGCCTTACCCGCCATCATGGAATTCCACATAGCATTGCTTCTGACCAAGGAACACATTTTACAGCCAAAGAAGTGAGGCTGGGTTTCATGCTTATGGAATTCACTGGTCTTACCATGTTCCTCACCATCCAGAAATGGCTAGATTTATAGAAAGGTGGAATGGTCTTTTGAAGACACAGTTACAGCGCCAGTTAGGGGTTAGTAGCTTACAAGGCTGGGGCAAAGTTCTTCAAAAAGCTGTATATGCTTTGAACCAGCGCCCACTATATGGTACTGTGTCTCCCACAGCCAGGATTCATGGGTCTGGGAATCAAGGAGTGGAAATGGGAATGGTACCCACTTACCATGACCCCCAGTGATCCACTAGAAAAATTTTTTCTTCCTGTTCCCATGACCTTATGTTCTACTGGCTTAGAAGTCTTAGTTCCAGGAGGGGAAGGCTTATACTAGGAAACACAATGATGATACCATTGAACTGGAAGCTAGGATTTCCCCTGGTCATTTTGGTCTCCTCATGTCTCTGAGGAAACAAGCTAAAAGGGGAGTCACAGTGTCACCAAAGGTGATTGACCCAGACTATCAAGGAGAAATTGGATTTTTACTTCACAGTGGAGGAAAGGAAGAATATACTTGGAATGCAGGGGATTCCTCAGGGCACCTCTTAGAATTACCATGCCCTGTTATTAAAGTCAATGGAAAACTACAACGACCTAATCCAGAAAAAATTATAAATAGTCCAGAACCTTCAGGGATGAAGGTATGGGTCACTCCACCAGGGAAAGAACCAAGACCTGCTGAGGTGCTTGCAGAAGGCCAAGGAAATACAGAATGGGTAGTAGAAGAAGGTGATTCTAAATACCAGCTGTGATCCTGTGGTCAGCTACAGAAACAGGAGCTGTAATTGTACTATTTCTCTTTTAATATTGGTTCTTAAGGATTATTAATCCTGTTATAGTGTTCAAGGTATAAAACATTAGGAGTAAGCTTTACCCAAAGAAACTTGCCTTCCACCCTGGGGAGGGAATTAGTGTGTTTCCGTTTGTATGCAGGATAGTCATAACATGTTAGGTATAACTGTGAACTCATCTTTGTATCTGGAGACTGGCTTAAAAAATTGTATCTGGTTGCCAAGTTGACAAGGGGTGGATTGGGATGGTTCACTGATTGTGTCAGCTTGAGAAGTTTGGCTAAAAGAAGCTTAGTCAAATTGGCTCAGCAATTCCACACTTTAGGGTATGGTAGATTTGCCCTAGTTGCTCCTTGCCTGACTGTTATAAAGGGTAAATGAGGAAGGTCGAGTTCTTTGGTTCCTTCCAGAAGCTCCAGACTTTGCCTTCCAGCAAAGACCCTTCAGCCGTCCACCACAGACCCATCGGCCTCCTGGTACAGATGCCACAGGACACTACAGTGAGCTCCAGAACTTTCAGTGAATCCTTTGGCCTCCACTGTTTGCAGAGAACCTCTGGACTCCTCATCTGACCCTGAGGGCGGCTATTATAAGCTAATCTTATAAATTCTTATATATAACTTGTATTCTTTTGGTTTCTCTAGTAAATACTGACCAATACAATACCCAGCTACTTTTCTCTTTTTTTTTATTTAAATTTTATTGAGTTTATTGGTACATTTTAGGGATACAGTACAGTTACATTCATTGTTGGGATCATGTACCTTTACATGGCAAGTCTTGATTCTCATTTTTTCCCCTTACCTCTGCCCTCCCTTCACCCCCTCCTCCCCTCCCCATCTACAAACACTTTATTTTCATCTTTTCATTCTCTCACATTTTTTTCTTTTCCCTTTTTGTTCTTCCCCTACG